CCTAGCGGGCGTTCGCAGGCCGAAGTCCCTTCTATGTTTTAGTTTGTTTACCTTGTATCGAACAAACACTATGTATTTCCTTTCAGACTTGTTTTTAGCATTCTATAGTAGTCCGTGAGCTAGTGACACCAGACTCTGGGTAGAACTATGTTTCAAACTTCCGCACTTTTGGTTTTCAGTTGTGTTAATCTAAAATCTTCCGCTTATTTATTGTTCTCGTTTATTATATTGTTTGAATGAAATTAGTAAAAATGTTTCAAATGTTTGTCTTGCCTAGCTCCGATAGTAGGCGCCATCACGACCCTCGATGGTGGAAAATCCGGGTCGTGACATAGAGTTATGTCGTCGGCAAAGAATAGGTGAGAAATAGAGCGTCCGTGACGTAAGAGTTGTACAGGAAGCCATTTGTTATGGTCAATCGCCGCTTGTATTTGGCGTGATAAACGTTTCGTGCATAATATAAATATATATAAGGGAAAAGTGGATCACCTTGTCGCAGTCCCTTTGTGGGCGTAAAAAATTCAATGGGAGAGCCATTTAAGAGAATAGAGATGGATGATGTGGTGATGCACGACATAATGAACTTGATCATAGAGTGTGGGAAGTTGAAGAAATGTAGGGTTTCCTTGATGAATTCTCATTCCATTTGATAACATGCTTTTTCTAGATCTAATTTTTAATAGAAAATTGGATTGACTTCCTTTTTACGTCTGAAATGGGTAAGGAGTTCCTGTACTATGATTGTATTGTCTGAGGCACGACAATTTTGGAGGAAAGCAGATTGCTCCGGACTGATAATTTTATATAGAAAAAGTTTTTATCGGTCGACGATAATTTTGATTATTATTTTATAAAGAGTGTTACAGAGGCTAATAGGTCGGTATTGAGTGATGGATGATGGGTGTGCAACTTTTGGGATGAGACAGAGATAAGTTTGGTTAACCAATGGATGAATTACTTTGGTATTTGAAAACTTCGTTGCAAAAGGAGATTACTGTAGAGGCTGTATATGTCCAATATTTCTGATAGAAATATGGATGGCGACCATCAGGTCCCGGTGCCTTGAAAGGTTGGAAAGAGTTGGTAGTATGATTCTACTATTTCATTGACTATTGATTGGTCAAAAACCTAATTTCCTCCAAAAGTCTTTTAGTGCGGTGATGCGATTTCTTCTTCTCCGTTGTATAGTTGATAAGTGAAAGAATTTTGTGTTCGCATCTCCTTCTTGTAACAAATTTATACGTGATTTTAATCTCCAAAAGTCTTCTTCTAGCCTAAGTATTTCATTATATTTGTTAATAAGGTCTGTTTCTAAATAATATAAGAAAGTGCTGGTAGGGTATTTGGGGGATTTTTGAATACCATTGGTCTTGCTAGAATATTTCTTTTCTCCTTAAAGATGTTTCCAAACGTTGATTTATTACATTCCTGGACATCTTCAGTAAAATCTTTAATTGCATCAAATATATTTTTATTAGGGGTCCAGTTTGCAAGGATCAGTGCGTTAAATTGTGGGTGGGAGGTCAACATTTTTTCAAATCTGAATATATTAGTTCTCCTAAAGCTTTTATGAAGATTTATAAGTAATGGGCAATGGTCGTAGTGTGTTCGAGGTAAATATTGGATGTACGCATCCGAAAAATTATTAAGCCATTCATAATTCCCCATGCATCTATCAAGACGTTCTAGAATTCTTTGGTTGAGCATTCTTTTATTTGTCCACGTGTATTTACTGCCTCTATAACCAAGGTCTATTAATATAAACAATGGACACAATGACGGAAAAATGAAAAGAAAAACAAAGAATGATGAAGTTGTTTTATAGGTGAAGATTATTTCTTAAAGACACAAGACAGTTAATACTAGATAACATATAAGGAAATGAAACTGAAAAGAAGCTTAAGAGGTATATATCTGCAGTTTTTCGATGAGAAATTCACTGGTCACAAAAATTATTAAATTCTTGATTTGCTAGACAAATGAAAAGTTTTTGTCCATCAAAGAAAAACATTAAACATCTGCGATTTAAATATCGTGAGTGCTACTTGTTTCTTCACTATATTAAAATTCTTTCAAGGATAAACTAATACTTTTAGAGATTGTTTTTCCAGATACCAGTTTTGATATATGTCTTCTCTCATTTACATATTAGGCGAAAAGTAAAGAACAGAAAAAAGTTATACCAACATATACTCTCTTTCTTTGCCGTCCTTAATTTTCTGCAGTACAAGTAAATTTTCTTGTTTTTCCCTTGTTTGCATACATAAAGTATAGATTTTCTTATAAGGTTTATAAGGGAATTCGGAAGATCTAATTAGGTTTCAATTTTGACCTTTTTGGCCGTTAAATTTAACTCGCAAAAGATATAGCATGTCATAAACTTACTTATAGAGTTAATAAAGAAGACAAGATATGTAACTAGGTTTCAATTTTGACTTTTTGACCATTAAATTTAACTCGCAAAGAATATATAGTATGGCATTAAACGGAAGATACAACTAGGTCTTATTTGTGACTTTTTCGCGGTTTAACTCGCAAAGAATATATAGTATGGCATAAACTTACTTATAAGCTTAATAAAAGAAGATGGAAGATCTAAGAAGGTTTAAATTGTGATCTTTTGGTCATTAAACTCAACTCGCAAAAGCTAAATTATGGCGTAGATTTTCTAATGTGGTGAATAAAAGGAAAACAAAAAATTTAACTAGGTTTAAATTGTGACCTATAAATCGTCAAATTTTAACTCGCGAAAGTTGTTATATGTACGAATTGATTTCTTAATACATCAATAAGTGAAGATACGATGGATTAGGAAATTGCGTGAAAAGAAGAGATTGGCCTAACCTAATGCCAAGAGGACTTATTCTTCTCTTGACGACGATTTTTAATTGACTGACACTAAATATTGATACAGAGAAAAAGATTTAACTAGGTTTAAATTGTGATATTTTAGCTGTGAAGTTAAATTAAATTTAACCCGCTAAAACTATATAATGACATAAACTCAATGAAGTTCTTATTCCTTTTTCCTCATTGGCTTATACAGATAGATATTAGCAAAAAAGAACAGAATCCCAAGATGATCAAAGATTTAACTTATTTACCATTTACTTAATTAGAATTGTAGTAAGAAAATCCGCATTATAGTGTTTATGAATCTATGCTTCCGATTGCTTTCCAATTCATTGCTTGATTCCTCTTCTTCTTAAGTATTTTTCTTAAATTGAATAAAACTTTTCCTTTTTTTCCCCACTTTTTTAATCACTGTATTTTGTGCATCTATTGTATATAGATTTGCTTCAAACCAATTTAGGAAAAATTTCAATGTGTTGGGTGACAGGTTGGTGAGTATCTGAGAGTACACAAAACAAATGTAAGCAGATATAGTATTTAGTTTAATATATTTGAAAGCATTATAATATTTTTATTAAAAAAGGTTTCTGCTAAATTGGAGAAAAAAATAATTGGCTTTCTAAAAAAAAAAAACACAACAGCTATAAGCTCTCAGATATGACCACTTAATAGTAAATATTTGTATATTTAAAATTAATCATTAAATTGATCGTTTTTTACTCATATTCAACTATTATCGAAATTAATATTTCAAAATTCAAAGCCACCATAATTCATAAATTTTTTACATGTTCTTTTATTTAAAATGCTCGCCTATGTCAGTCACTCAGTCTCTAGTAAATCCGTGTAAAATTGAATTTTTAAAGAAATTAGTAAGCAAGCACTTTGGTTATTACTCTATGTTCAAAAGAATTGATCTTGGCTATAATATCTAAATTGGTATGTAGTCCACCCTCATTTATTTTTATGTCAAAATAGTTAAATGGTCACACCTAAGATCCATTCAAACTGCCAAAAAATTTAACAGAATCTAAAGTTTTCTCCCCTACAAATAGCAGCCAATTCTGAGCAAAGAAACACACAACAAACAACAAAGCCATTTGATCCCTAATATCCAAACATATTTTCTCCTCCTCCTCCTCCTCCTCCCCTGTTTAGCCATGGCAAGAAGGAAAGTGAGGCTTGCTTTCATTATTCGTGATGCCGAAAGGAAAGCCTCGTACAAGAAAAGAAAGAAAGGGTTGTTTAAAAAAGTTCTAGAACTCAGCACTCTTTGTGATGTTGAAATTGCTGCAATTATCTACAGCGCTTTCCACAGCGGCGCTGAGGTGTGGCCGTCACATGAACAGGTGATGGGAATCATTGAAAGATTTAGGGCTTTGCCGGAGATAGAGCAAAGCAAAAGGCAGGTGAACGTAGAAGGGTTCACTAGGCAAAGGATCAGGAAATTGGAGGATCAATTGAGGAAGATAAGAAAAGAAAACAGAATCAAGGAGTTCACTAACTTGATGTACGACTTGTTGGGTGGACAAGAGGTGCCCCAGAACATGCACCCTTATGATCTCAATGATTTGACGTATGTGATCGATCAAAACCTTCAAAAAGTGTACGAAAGAATGACGGAAGAAGCTAAGAAACAAGGTTTCACATTTGATGTCCCTCTTACGGGACCAATAAGTCCCCCTAGAGGGACCAACTTCGAGGAGCCAAGGGCTCCCTTGGCTCCTCCTCCGGTTGTCCCTACAACGGCTCCAACATCGGTGATTCGTCCAATGGCTTCAATATCGATGGTTCGTCCAATGGCTCCATCGATGGTTCGTCCATTTGCTGCTTCTTCATATGCTCCTCCTCTTCTGGTGCCTCCTCCACCATTCGTTCATCCTGCGAGTCTTTCAAGGGCTCTTTCTCCAGTGGCTCCTCCCCGAATGTTTCGTCCTGTAGGTCTTTCAATCTGGCCTCCTGCTCCCGTGTCTCAGCAAATTTTTCGTCCTATGGTTGCGCAGATGGTTTCTCCAATGCCTCGGGTGGTGGATACTAGAAGCTGGGCAACAATAGTAGCTTCGTCTCCAATGCCTCCAACAGTCGCTCCCAGAAGCTGGGCTCCAAGAGTAGCTTTTCCATTGCCTCCAGCGGCAGCTCCTAGAAGTTGGGCTCCAAGCTTAGCTTCTCCAATGCCTCCAGCGGCGGCTCCTAGAAGCTGGGCTCCACTAGTAGCTTCTCCAATGCCTCCAGCGGCGGCTCCTAGAAGTTGGGCTCCAAGTGTAGCTTCTCCAATACCTCCTAGAAGTTGGGCACCAAGTGTAGCTTCTCCAATGCCTCCAGCGGCGGCTCCTACTCCAAGTGTAGCTTTTCCGATGCCTCCAGCGGCGGCTCCTAGAAGTTGGGCTCCAAGTGTAGCTTCTCCAATGCCTCCAGCGGCGCCTCCTAGAAGTTGGGCTCCAAGTTTAACTTCTCCATTGCCTCCAGCGGCGGCTCCTAGAAGCTGGGCTCCGCGAGTAGCTTCTCCAATGCCTCCGGCGGTGGCTCCTAGAAGTTGGGCTCCGGGAGTAGCTTCTTCATTGCCTCTACAAATGGCTCCAGCAATGTCGCCTAGAATGGATTTTCCTATGATTCCTGTACTGTCTGCAAGGACGTCTTCACCAATGGTTCCTTCAGTGACACCACCAATGGCGAATTCAATGAACTCTTCAGTGGATGCATCAATGCCAGTGACTAACTATCAAAACTATTTCTATGGCAATCCTCCTGATTGGGAAGAAGATGCTTTAATGGCTTTTGTTAATGGTACTTGCAACATCTTTGAAGAACCAAACCACCACAACAACAATTTCTAAGGACCTAGACCAACAATGTCCGACCATCATTAAGTCTGTTTCAATTTTTGAGTCATGTCTTGTCTCTTTTACTGTTTGTGTGTCTGTCTGCGTCGTGTCGTCGAATGTGTCTTTTTTATTGTTTACCTGTCTGCTGTGTCGTGTCGTCGAATGTGTCTCTTTTATTATTTACCTGTCTGCTGTGTCATGTAATTCTCCACATCTCTTTCCCTTTGTCCTCATCAAAAGTGTCAGTCTGTCGCGTCTATTGTCTCTTTCAGTTTGTTACATTTATAATGAATGTTTGTTTATGTTTACTGCATACTCTAATATTTATTTGCGCCTTTATTTTTGTTGTTATTACTACTGAATGTGTTGTTACTATTCTAGCTTGGTTCATACACGTACATAGCATTTGAAAGGCACAAACATTCAGAAAAGAAAAAAAGATAGGGGGGAAGTGACGCACATACATAATTCTTAAACAAGAGATGGTAATTAAGTCCAATTTGAGCGCTGAAAATTAGTAAAAGTCCAAATTTGGTGAAGAAATAACTTTATATTGAGCGTCTATATATTAATGATGAAATGGATGGAATTATATCTGAGTACACTAATTGTAACTCTACTGAAGAATTCTATATATGCGGACATTTACAAATCGGAGTCTTTGATTATCTTCTCAGTACTCGGCCTCTTTAGAAATGTTCATTGCTGAATCTGTTAGCACTTGTTTTATTAAAAAAAAAATTGAATCATCCACCATCTCTAATTCAAAGAGCGTGGACGATAATATATAGATAGCAGCACAGTACAAAATGTCAAAGTTAAGCCCTAGGTCTGCCATTGTGAGCTTTAGAGAAGAAGAAGGAAGAGGAAAGAGAGAGAAACTGAACTCATTTCTTCACTCACTAAAAAAAGGAAATGTATTGTACATATACATATATAATCACCGACTTTATCACTTAACTAACTAACTCTAATTGTCACTAATACATCTTCTAGAACAGTACAGCATAAATAGCTATAGGTACAACTACACTTAAGCTACTAATTTCTACACTCCCCCTCAAGTTGAGAATGGAAAATGTTTTTCATTCCCAACTTGGATACCAAAACTGCATGTTGTTGATGTCCCAAGGCTTTTGTCAAGATGTCCGTTGGTTGCTCATTACTTCCTATGTGTCCAGTTTTGATCAGCCCCTCTTGGATCTTTCCCTTATGAAGTGACAATCAATTTCTATATGTTTAGTTCTTTCGTGATAAACGGGTTTGCAGCAATCTGCAAGGCAGCTTTGTTGTCACAAAACAACTCCATAGGCTCTGTAACATCAATTGTTAGTTCCTTTAGCAGACCCCTTAACCATGTCAACTCTACCACTGTATGAGCCATACTTCTGTACTCAGCCTCAGCTGAGCTCCTTGAGATGGTGGACTGCTTCTTTGCTTTCCATGAAATGAGAGAATTCCCTAGTTTGACACAGAATCCTGTTACTGATTTCCTGGACATGGGACATGCTCCCCAATCTGAGTCACAAAAACCTTGAACTCTTTCTGTACTATTGCTCGACATTAGAAGTCCTAGTCCTGGTTGATCTTTAATATATTTCACAACATGTAATGCAGCCTCATAATGAGACTTCTTTGGAGCATGCATAAACTGGCTTAGGCTCTGCACAGCATATGCAATATCAGGTCTTGTGATTGTCAAGTACAAAAGCTTTCCAATTAATCTTTGAAAGAGACTTCTGTCTTCCAGGATGCTCTCACCAGTGTTCTCCTTCACAATCTCATCAAACTCTATGCTTGTAAGCTTCAAATTCCGTTCCATTGAGGTCTTCTTGGGCTTTGAACCTGAGAGTCCTGCTTCTGAAATCATCTCCAAGGCATATTTCCTTTGGGACATAAAAATACCTTCTGATTATCTAGCAATTTCAATTCCTAGAAAATATCTCAATTCTCCAAGGTCTTTTAGCTTGAAGTTCTGATGCAAAGATGTTTTTGATGCCTCAATCTCCTTTAGATCATTACCTGTAATGAGTAAGTCATCTACATAGACAAGTATGAGAACAAATTTTCCATTAGTAGTTTTAGTAAACAGAGAATAATCATGTCTGCTTTGATGGAAACTAGATTTGAGAAGAGCTTGTGTCAGTTTCAAATTCCATTGCCTAGAGGCTTGTTTCAAGCCATAGAGGGATTTGAGTAGTCTACATACCCTATGCTCCCCCTGGCTACCAAATCCCTGAGGCATAGTCATGTAGACTTCTTCATGTCAGTCACCATTCATAAATGCATTGTGGACATCCATTTGATAAAGTGGCCAGTGTCTAAGTGCAGCAACTGCAATGACAGTTCTGACTGTAGTCATCTTGGGTACAGGAGAGAATGTATCATGAAAGTCAATACCTTCTTGTTGAGTATACCCCTTGTCCACTAGTCTTTCCTTAAACCTCTCTACTGTGCCATCAGCATTATATTTAATCTTGTAAACTCATTTACACCCTATAGGAACTTTGCCAGGAGGCAGAGTCACAACCTCCCAAGTGTTGTTTTGTTCTAATGCCTCAATTTCAAGTTTTATAGCCTTGATCCACCTGTCATCTTTGACAGCCTGGGAGAAAGATGTTGGTTCAAGATCAGAAGAGAAAGAGGCTAGGAAGGACTGAAAGGGAGATGAGAGGTGAGAATAGGAAATGAATTTATGTATAGGGTAAAGTGATGAAGCAGAAGCAGATGAAGAAGGTAAGGGATGATGAATATAGTCAGTCAACCAGATGGGAGCTTTGGAGATCCTAGCTGATTTCCTAATTTGAGTAGTTGGGATGGTAGTTGGATGTGAGTTGGATGCATCAGGAGGAGTAGATGCCAACTCTGTGGGCAAATGAGGAGCAGAGGAAGATGATGGGGTAGGATCAATAGGGAAATCAGCAGGGGAATCAGAAGAAGGGTAAGGTGAGTCTGTGAAATCATTTGAAGGATCAGGGATAGGAACTAGTGTCTTATTAGTAGCAGAGGGTACTGGTGTTATGTTGGAGGATGGAAATATATCTGAAGCAAGGTGATTGGGAGTAGGATCAGGAGTCACTAGGAACTTGTGTTTGGAATGTTTGAAGGGGAATATTTCTTCCTTAAAGACAACATCCCTACTAAATATGAACTTGTTAGCAGCAATATCATATACTTTATATCCCTTTTGTGTTGGTGCATATCTCATGAAGACTCCAGGTGTAGATTTAGGGTTGAACTTATCATGAAAATCAATCGTTGTGGCATAGCAAATTAAAGACAACCCAAGGTTCTCATGTGAGCAAAAGAAGGAGGCTTTCCATGGAACATCTCATAAGGAGATTTTCCTTGTAGGACAGAACTAGGCAGCCTATTTATGATGTATGTTGCTTTTAGAATGCAATCACCCCAGAATTTCAAGGGTATGCTTGCTTGAAATCTTAAGGCTCTTCCTATTTCAAGAAGGTGTCTGTGTTTTCTCTCCACAACTCCATTTTGTTGTGGAGTGTGAACACAGCTGCATTGATGAATTATCCCTTTGGATTTTAAAAGATTGAAACAAAGAGTGTTAAAAAATTCATGCACATTGTCTGATCTGACACAATTGACAGTAGTTTCAAACTGATTTTCTATAAGCTGAAGGAAGTCTTTCAAAACAACATATACATCACTCTTGAGTCTTAAAAGAAAAACCCATGTCATTCTAGTATAGTCATCAACAAGAGTTAGAAAGTATTTGAAGCCATTGTAAGTACATACTCTATAGGGTAACCAAACATCCATATGGACTAGATCAAAAGAAGAAGTAGATTTAGAAGTGCTGATAGGAAATGGTAATCTAACTTGTCTAGCAAGAGGACAAACAGGACAATTACAAACAGATGACTTAGATAAGTATTTGTTTATCTCAGGTATAGTCTGTAAGACTGCAATAGGGGCATGTCCCAATCTTTGATGCCACAAAGAGCTTGAACTTGGTTGATTTGAAACTGTCATACGTTTGGAGGAGGAAAGAGCAGTAGCAGGTTCTGAAGGATTAAATATGTAGAGACCACCTTTGAGTCTACCAATCCCCTTCACCTTACCACTGAAGAGGTCCTGAAAGATGAAAAAATCAGGATAAAAATGGACAGCACTGTTTAACTCTTTAGTATATTTGGATATAGACACCAAGTTATACTTGAATTCAGGCACATAGAGAACATTATGAATGGTTTCTGAGTTAAGCAAGTTGCAGGAACCAGTATGAGTAATTTTGGTGCTACTACCATTTGGTAGGTGGACTGAAGATGCCATAGGTTCAGGTATTTGGATGATACTTGACAAGAGATTCAAGGATGATACTATATGATTTGAGGCACCAGAATCAATAATCTAACAACTATGTTCAGTTAGTGATTTACCTGCCATGTTGGCAACTTCTGCTGGCTCAGGTTCCTTGCTCAACAGTTTGAGGATCTGCTGATATTGCTCTGGAGTGAATCCTTGTATAGTTGGAACAGTTGGAACATTCTGCATAGCATATGCCTTTCCTGCACTTTGAACCTCATCACCTGCATTCACATTATGAGCCATAGGTCCATTGTTGTCATGCATTCCTCTCCTCTTACTGTTGTTAAACTTAAAGCCTGGTGGATATCCATTGAGTTTGTAGTAATTATCTCTTGTATGTCCCTTCATCTTGCAGTAATCACATACCAATATATTGTTCCTTCTAGGTCTGATGTTGGAAGCATTTGTTGTTACTAGTGCACTGCTCTCCATTCCTAAAGGTGCACCTCCTACTATTCCATTCTGTGTAGTAGAACCAACATTTATCCTTTGACTTTCCTCTTGAACAATCATGGAATATGCCTGGTCCAGTGTTGGTGTAGGATGCGTCATCAGGATTTGACTCCGTTGTGGTGCATAAGTCTCATTCAACCCCATTAAAAACTTCATAAATTTCTGTTGGTGCAAAAACACTACAAACTGTCTGGACTTCTCACAATCACAACCAGTAAATGGAATAATTGATTCAAATTCATCCCAGAGGTCATTCAACCTAGAAAAATATACAGACACACTAGAGATTCCTTGTGTCAAGGAACTTATTTCCTTATTCATGTGATAGATCTTTGTAGCATTTACTTTATCAAACCTATCCTTCATAGATTTCCATACCTTTTATGCATCTGAAGAATACACAATTCCTCTCCTAAGTTCTGGCACTACTGAACTTCTGATCCATGACTAGACTATTGCATTGCATCGTTCCCATTGTCTCAGTCTGAAGTTATCTTTCTCATATTGAGCCCTAGTACAGGTTTCGTCTATAAAACCTAACTTATTCTTTACCAAAATCGACATTGTCATAGATCTACTCCATTCCGAATAGTTTTCTATTCCAATTAGCAATTCTGGTACAAGTGAGATACCTGGTGTGTCTGAAGGATGTACATACAGCAGATCGTCAATCAATTGTTTGAATGTTTGCATGTGATGACTCAGCAGTTGCATCAGGAGTATCAACAGCCATTTCAGCAGAAAATCAAACAGTTTCTGAGAATTTCTTAATCGGAAGACGATTTTAGAAGAACAGCTAGAAATAGTTGAAGAAAAAGAAAAGAAACATAGATCTAGAAGAAATGATTGGATGCTGGAGCTCGAGAATCAGAATCGCTTGGATCCGGGCTGTGATACCATGTCAAAGTTAAGCCCTAGGTCTGCCATTGTCGAGCTCTGAGCTTTAGAGAAGAAGAAGGAAGAGGAAAGAGAGAGAAACTGAACTCATTTCTTCACTCACTAGAAAAAGGAAATGTACTGTACATATACATATATAACCACCGACTTTATCACTTAACTAACTAACTCTAATTGTCACTAATACATCTTCTAGAACAGTACAGCATAAATAGCTATAGGTACAACTACACTTAAGCTACTAATTTCTACACAAAATAACAAAAGTAAAGGAGCCAACCTCTCTGCACCTAAAAAGGATGGAACAGAGTACTTCATCCATAAAAGTGTGGTTTTTATTAGTTCACCAAAAATTGTAGGAAAATGACACCAAATAATAATAATAATACTGCTTCAATATTATTTGTAAGAGGATACACCGATTGATTTGAGTCGTGTCGGGCACTATCCTAAGAAACTATTTCAGCAATGTAAAATGTTTTCCCAGGATAAAACAAGTCCATCTCTAATTTATTTAGAGGATACAGGAATCAACAAAATATTAATAATAAATCCAGCAAGTTTGGAATGAGGAAATAAGCACACGTTATAAAAGAAATTGAAACACACAAAAGGCTACACGTAATTGAAAAAGGAGAAGGCTTGTAGTGATGATTACTAATCATTAGCAATCATGAGAGAGCAAAGTATTTGCTGGTGTTTTCGGAGGGTATAGGAAGTGGGTATTTATAGTTGTACAATTGTATAAGAAGATGACAAGTATTCATCTACTTGTCAAAAACATTCCATGCAAAGAGACAAGTGTTATGTCTCCTCTACCACTTGTTTATGGCTTCGCCATTTGGCCATATATCTCCATGCAAAGGCCACATGGTAGATTTTCATGACCACTTGTAAAATTAAAAGAACACATGGATATTTAAAAATTTTAAAATACTCCCACAATCCCCACATATTTTCAAAATTTACAAGAGAAGGATAAAGGAATGGAAGAATAGACTTGCTGGATTTGCATAGTCCAAATGTAATAGGTTTGGTGTCTTCTGGACTATGAACCAAACTTAGACCAATAAAATTTAACTCACAGAATTACTGATGAAATATAATATTTCTATGAACTAATAATTTTTATTGTAAGTCAGAGATTTTATCAATCACATTTTAACCCCCGGTAATTTTGTTGTTCAACGCGATTTTGCACCCAATAGGCCATGCGCGTGCCTGGTTATTCATGAGAGCTCTAGAGACTAGGCCAAAATCTCATAGGAGCGGTCCACTCCACTCTCATATAGGTGAATTCATCAAGTGTATACTGCTTTTAAATACACCATTCATAAGGACTATGAATTTCATTAAGAGTTATAACTCAGCTTCTCAAGTAGTAGCAGTTAAGCACTCTCTTTTAGTGCATCAGTGCCAATATTGACTTGTTATTACCCATATGAACCTACTTCATGGGATCTCCAATCACATAGGTTGGGTTACCATCTCTATTGACAACATGTCGGCCTTAACCCCATCTCTTTTGAGGTTAGAAGAATTAATTTTCTTCCCACGGGTTTAGTCAGAGGATCGGCCAAATTTATCTCTGACTTCACATAATCAATGGAAATTATTCCATCTCTCAACAGCTGTTTTATGACATCATGTCTCAATTTCATGTGTCTACTTTTACAATTATAAGATTTATTCTTTGCAATAACTATTGCCGCTTGACAATCACAATGCATATACACAGGAGGCAATACGTCCTTTATTAAAGGGATATTAGCTAAGAAGTTTCTTAGCCACTCAGCCTCAGAACCAGCTAATTCCAGAGCTACAAACTCTGATTCCATAGTCGCTCTAGCAATGATCATCTGTTTAGCTGATTTCCACGATATTGCACCACCACCAAGGGTGAATACATAACCACTAGTGGATTTTGTCTCATCTGAATCAGAGATCCAGTTTGCATCACCGTACCATTCTAAAGTAGAAGGAAATCCACTATATAGGATACCACAATTCATGGTTCCTCTCAAATATTCCATTAGTCTATCTAATGCAGACCAATGCTCTCTGTTGGGATTATGAGTATGTCTACTCAGTCTACACACTGCATAGGCTATATTAGGCCTTGTAAAATTCATTAAATGCATCAGACTCCCAATAATCTGAGCATATTTAGACAGAGCAACTGGATCACCATTATTCTTTTTCAACTGAGAGTTAGCATCAAAAGGAGTGATCACTGCTGTGACACTAAAATATTCAAACTTCTTAAGAAGTCTCTCAACATAATGTTCTTGTGACAACATTATGCCATCTTCACTCCTTATAACTTTAACTTCCAATATCATATTTGCTACATCCAAATCTTTCATATCAAAATTAGAAGACAAAAATAATTTAGTACTTTGCACAATATTTAAACTTGTACCAAATATAAGCATGTCATCAACATATAGACATATTATCACATAATCATTGTCTACCACTTTAGTATAAACACATTTATCCACCACAACTGAAGAAAAACCATCCTCTGTAAGACTTGTTCAAATTTCTCATACCACTGCTTAGGAGCTTGTTTAAGGCCATAAAGCGATTTAATTAATTTACAAACTTTATTTTCTTGACCAGGAATGCCACAACCTTCAGGTTGAACCATATAAATATCTTCTTCTAAATCACCATTTAGAAAAGCAGTTTTCACATCCATTTGGTGGATAAAAAGCTTACGGATTAAAGCTAAGGCAATTAAAACTCGAATAGAAGAAATTCTAGTCACTGGTGCAAATGTATCAAAATAATCTATATTTTGTTTTTGAGAAAATTCTTTTGCTACAAACCGAGCTTTATATTTATCTAAAGATCCATCAAGATTAAATTTTCTTTTGAAAATCCATTTATAACCAATAGGTTTTGCACCAGGAGGTAAATCGGTTAAAATCCATGTATTATTTTTCTTAATAGAATCAATTTCAATTTTTATTGCCTTTTTTCAATATTTAGCATCTGAAGAATATATAGCTTCAAAGAAATTTGATGGTTCATTATTGACAAGAAAAGTTTGAAAATCATTTCCATAAGAAAAATATTCTTTCCTAGGCCCTTTACTCCTTCTCAGTTCCTCATTAGAGGTAATTTCTCTATTTGTTTCAACAGGTGTATGAAAAATTTTATCAGACAGTGGATAAATATATTCAAAGAACTCAGCATTCTTTGTTACAATTATAGTATTGCAATCAAGCACATCACTTTTCAAAACAAGGAATCTATATGCAGCACTATGTTCAGTGCATCCAATAAGCATGTAATCAGCAATTTTAGAACCTATTTTTCTCTTTTTAGGTTCAGGCAACAGAACTTTAGCAAGGCACCCCCACACTTTTAAATATTTCAAATTAGTTTTATAACCCTTCCACAATTCATACGGAGTTTTGCCAGTTCTTCTATGTGGTATTCTATTTTGTAAATGACATGCAGATAAAATAGCTTCATCCCACAATTATCAGGAGCATTAGAACTAACTAACATATAGTTCATCATCTCTTTCAATACTCTATTTTTTCTTTCAGCTACTCCATTTGACTCAGGTGAATAAGGCGGAGTTACTTCATGAATAATTCCATTATTTTCACAAAATTCATTCAAAGATAAATATTCTCCACCTCTACCAGATCTTATTCTCTTGATTTTTCTACTAAGTTGATTTTCAACCTCAGTTTTATAAGAAATAAAAGCATTAAATGCATCATCTTTATTTCTAAGCAAATACAACTTCGTATATCTAGAAAAATCATCAATAAAAGTCACATAATATCTTTTACCACCTCTAGTCATAGTCTGCTTCAAGTCGCCTAAATCAGTGTGAATTAAAGATAACACTTCAGTTTCTCTATTTATAAAAAACAAGTCTTTCTAGTACTTTTAGCTTCAGCACATATTTCACACTTGTTAATATTATTTGAGTCTAATCTAGATATTAATCCTAACGACTGCATTTTCTTTATATACGCGACATTAACATGTCCTAGTCTAGCGTGTCACAAAGAAATTGACTCAACCATATAAGCAAAAGAAGATGTATTTTTGTTGCTGGTATAAAAAATATTAATCACAAATAAACCATGGTTACAATATCCATTGCCCACAAAAATATCATTTTTGGTCAATACGACCTCATTATTTTCAAATGAAACCTTCACTCCAACTTTTTCTAATAACCCCACAGAAACCAAATTGGTTTGGATATTAGGAACATGCAATACATCACTCAATGCTAGAGTTTTACCAGATGTGAGTTTGAGAAGAATTTTTCCTTTCCCAAGAACACGAGTTGTTCTTGAGTCACCAAGATAAATAGTTTCTTCTCCTTCCTCAACTTGGGTGTAAGACAAAAATTCATTTTTGTTTGCACAAATGTGCCTAGTAGCACCAGAGTCTATCAGCCAATTTCTCACACTGGACACATTATTTATTTGGAAAATAACCGCAACAACTATATTATCCGCTTTGGTCAAATTTAATTTTTACTTAGAAAGATTGTCATTTATCCCAACTCTTCTCTTGCATTAAGGTGCATTTTTCTTAAGGGTTTTGATATTAGCATTAGATATGTAACCATGTCTATCTACATGCCTGTATTTTGACATTAGTGTCTGCCAAAGTTGTGGATGCAATAATGTATTTGCAACACCATGGATATCTGGCAGGACAGGTGGAACAGTAGCAGCGGAGATAACACCAAAATTGGTAGCGCCATCAAAATTTCCGCAATAGTATTACTTGCCATAGTTTCTTAGATTGTAAGGAAATCACACCGAAAAATAACAATAATAATACTGCTTCAATATTATTTGTTAGAGGATATACGGATTGACTTGAGTCATGCCGGGCACTGTCCTAAGAAACTATTTCAGCAATGTGAAATGTTTCCCCGGGATTAAACAAGCTCATCTCTAATTTATTTAGAGGATACATGAATAAATAAAATATTAATAATAAATCCAGCAAGTTTGGAATGAGGAAATAAACACAGGTTATAAAAGAAATTGGAACACACAAAAGGCTACACTTAATTGAAAAAGGAGAAAGCTTGTAGTGATGATTTAATCATTAACAATCATGAGAGAGCAAAGTATTTGTTGGTGTTTTCGAGGGTATAGGAAGTGGGTATTTATAGTTGTAGAATTGTGTAAGAAGATGACAAGTGTTCATCTACTTGTCAAAAACATTCCATGCAAAGAGACAAGTGTTATGTCTTCTCTACCACTTGTTTATGGCTTTGCCATTTGACCATATATTTTCATGCAAAAGGCCACATGATAAATATTCCGGACCAGTTGTAAAATTAAAAGAACACATGGCTATTTAGAAGTTTTAAAATACTCCCACAAAAATGTGCTAGTAATCCCTCCTGTACATATTAGTCGTAAAATCACGCTAATCTCTAAAAAAAAAAAAAAATTCTTGGTTAAGGGTTCCATTGATAATTAATGAGACCCCAAGGAGTATACAAGGATGGAAATGTAATTGAGAAGTGAATTACACGTACTAGAAAACTGCAAAAGTGTAAGAGGTGTTCTTGCTTTTAATTACCCTTGTGTTTTTTCGTCTTAAAATTAATTTTATTTTGAAGAAATATTAGCGAGTAGGAGTGTACATAGGTTGGGTTGGTTCGGCCTTTTCAATTACCAAACCAAACCAATGGTATCGGGTTTTTAAATCTATAAACCAAGCCAAACCAGACCAACAAAATCAGATTTTTCAATCTCGGAGTTTTCGGTTTTTTTTTTCCCGATAATATCTTCATAGCACAAAATATGTTACTTGTACTCCAAATATTTCTTTAATCCTAGTAAGATATAACTATATAATGTATTTTTCAATAAAATAACATAATTATATGAGATAAGGCATAGCATTATACTAAAATATCCAATAACAAAGATAATAAAATTGCATAAAGCAAATATTGCTGGTTAATAAATCATAATGAAAATTAACATAATCTAATAATACCATATAGGTCATGCTAAAATAAGTACAGCTAATAAGTACTAGTAATAATTACATAATTAAGCACGAAAGAAAAAAATAAACTAAGTCATGTTTATGTCCAACACTATCGTCATTCCTAGCGTCGGATTGAATTTGTTTTGTTAGCATTAGCATTAATTTGAACTTTGTTTGAGTTATTACATTTATACGCTATAAAATTTATGTTCAAGAATGTTAAGTTCAAACTTGAAATAATACGTTAAAAAAATAAAACTATGAAAAAGTTTAAGAAATATTTACAAATTATATTATAATAAATATTTATATGTATAAAATATTTTAAAATTTATGTAAATGTACTATCGGGCTGGTTTGGTTTCGATTTGACTTTCTTTAGTTAAAATCAATTATGGTCGAATTTTTTCTCCAATATCAAACCAAATCACATCGGATTTGTTTTCAATTTGACTCGAATTATCGATTTGGTGCGGTTTATTAGTTTTCTTTGCACACCCCTATTAGCGAGGTCCCTTCCTTGATATTCTCTCGCCATACCACTCGATATAACTTAGGGGAATTTAGTACACATTTATTGTAAAGACATTTTGAGAGAAGAACTCACACTTTTATAAAAAGCCTTTTTGCGCAATCATCCAGGTAAGTTTTTTGGCTAAATTCAAGGTGGAATTGAAATAGATTCCACTCATTAATGGTTGAAGTTAACCCCTTAATGGAGTAAATAGTTGGGAATATTCATTGAGAAAAGCTGGAGTTTGTGGTTCAAATCACATTTGGTATTTATGATTTTAATAATGCAATATATCTCAATTATGAAGCATATTATCAGTATTTTAGAAGCACTATGACCAAATTAAAAACCAAAAACTTAGATTGACCTTTATTGCTCATTCATGCAACTTTATGATTAAGTCGACCCGTTCCCAGCCTATATATACACGAAGAGCAGAAGAAGATAACGTACGTAAAGAAGACAAGATCCTCGCAAAATTTAACACCAACTGCCACTAATTCCATCTATCATATCATGGCTTAATTACTTAGTATATCGGCGCCACCTAGAGTTATGATTTTAGACATATATCACATTGAGGACCTCCTTCCTATATATTATTTGTTGGAATAGATATTACCCATATATGATCATTTGAAAATGTAGTACATAGGTAAGAACTTGACATACAAAAGCAACCCAAGAATAAAAATCTAACTACCAAGAATTGACAAGGATAAAAGGGCAGCTCTAACAAGAGTTGCAAAAGGAAATATCAAACCAACCCTACAAGAGCAACATTGGAGAACATCAAAAGTTGCTCCACTTATTCTTCTATAACATAGACAATTGCCCTATGAAGACTCGATTTTGCTACCAATTTGAACCGCTAATAGCAACCAATCTTGAGGCATCAAACTAGTATAGAAATTGTCTAAAGCACATTGTTAGTTGGAGGCCCTCCGGACCGATTATCCGCCATGTAGCCAGTTGGTCCTGTTCCAGCAGCATTGACTTGGCCTGGATGGTTGGCATGATCAACACCATAAGAGTCTCCAGTACTGGAATTGTCAATGTTGGTCAAGTTGGCAGCTGCATAAGGGTCTGAAGCTCCTGGTTCATGCTTTGGCTCATGTTGTGCAATCTTCTCTGCAGCTTTGTTGACATGCAGATCCATTGCTGCTTCTGCCTCTCTTGCCAATCTTACCTCATGTGCTATTTCCACTCTTGTCTTTGCCACTTCCTTCTGAGCCTATAACATTTGGAAACAGATTTAAATTATATATAGTGACAATATAAGAATTTTTACACTATTACTATGTATTAAGTAGTTCTTTACTTGTTATAACAGGTAACATGCATATTTAACATTATTTCAGGTTACCAATCAATATTAATTGTAAACAGGGCCGTATCTAGGTTTTAGGACATGGATTCATGTGAACTCATACTCCTGTTCCTAAACCATTTATAACAATATTATATTTTTTAAAATTACTTAAATATATGTGCGTGCACCCAAGCTCAATTACTCCTGTGGCGCAATATTTATTGGATGCACCTCTATAAGTGAAATTAGTGGTTCAAACCCCACTCTGGATGATCTTGTTTTCGAAATGGAGTATAGATATATGTGAAAATCAGTAAGATTTCAAAAAGTATAATTTTGAACCTATATCAAAAGTGCAGTGGGTTCACTGTAAGAGACTAATGTTAAACCCATCAAATGTGAATTCTAGATCCATCTCTTTATACAATAGTGCCCCATCCTCTTGAAATCCTGGATCCGCCTCTAATTGTAAAGGATTATCTGTAACTACTCTTTAAAAGCTCGTTTAGTACGAGGGATACAGAATAATTAACCACGAGATTAAATTTGAGATGAGTTTATTCCTCGTTTGGTTGGGATAAAATCGCAGTATAACTAATCTAGAAATTAGTTATCCGGGATTGTAGTGTCTTTTTATCCTTATGGGAGGGTGAGATAACAATCCCGAAATAATTAGTTCTGGAATAATTACTCCTGGAATAACTTGTTTCCAAACCAAACAACTCATGATTTGATTGTTTAAATAATTTTTACTCTGTCATAAAATAGGAAAATTGTTTATGATGCCTTTAAATATTCAGTCTTTAACAGAGATTGAAGCATTCTGTATATGTTAATTTATGTAATTCTTACTTTTTCCTCCTCCTTGGCTTCTGCTTTGGCCTTGCGCATGGCGCTCATATCATTGAACTTTTCCTTGATAGCCTGCATTTTTTGCTTCCAAACTACTTCACAAAGAACTCAGACAGATAATATTTGAAGAGAGATATTGATTTTAGACTAAAAACTCTTATCCTTGAGCTACTATATATAGGCTTGATTGTAACTATAATTAGCTAGGCAATGGTTAAAAACCATTCTTCCTATTCCGTTAAAAGAGATCTTGTTTTTCTCAATACAATGGTGAGAAAGCACAAGACGTGTCAATAACCAAGACTCTTTATATATCAATGTTTGTGGGATTTTGCTTTTACTTGAACGGGTCTTGTCTTAAAACAGTGGTAGTGCACCTTTTTCCTCTTTAACTCCTCCCC